TCACGTGCATCGAGGGAGAAGAATAGAGGAGGTGTGTGGATGGAAGAGGACGTATCAAGTTAAAAGGGTGGAAGGGACTGATCAAGAAAATTAGGCAAATTCGACCACAGTCGCCAATATCAGTAAGCATCAAGTCAATGCTGTGGGAAAGCACTCTCCGGTGACACAGCTAATAGCAGATCGGTATACATGGTGGTGATTGTGTAGTTGTGGAGGCGTGTAGAAGGAGCAAAATCAGCGGCGAGTGACGCGTTGGTGGAGCTGTAGTCGCCTTCGCTGCACGCCATTGCTCCCATTTCCAGCTACGTTAACTCTCAAATCAGAGGCAGCCTTTCAATTGTCACGTCTCGCCTACACACTGAAGTCTTACTCATGGACCAATTTTCTTGACCAGTGTCTTATCCATCCTTTTTACTTCACTTTCTCTCTACCCTTGCTCAGACAGTTGCTGACTGCCGCACAGCACCTGCTCTCAGCTCTTTACCCATGGCTCTTTTATATTTCTTTCCCACATTCTTGTGTTTGTATATCAGCCCATGTTAGTCGTGGCCCCTGGCACACATGCAAGTGAATAAATGCCTTAATATATATGTACATAAATGCATCCTTTTTTTCGAGAGTTTGTTTAGGACTGTCAAAGTAGAAGTGGCTCGAAATTCATCCATAGGTAGTGGGTGGATGTTGATTCCTCGAAAATTGGGCTAACCGATATTGTCTCATATCTTGCTGAAGGGAGGGGGTTCTATGGCAACGTGAATTAAGTAGTCTCTTCGGGATCTATAAGGTGTTATCGGTTGCCAGATGACAGAGTCTATCGGTGGTAGAGGACACGTTGCAGGCCTTTTGTGAGTGGAGGCAGGTATACTATTACCTCAGTGTTGGTGCAGCTATAGCGATTGTCCCCACTTAAAGGGTTGAAATGTGTTATTTCCTCTTGCAGCATCAACATCACCGACGGTGGTTTACTCATTGCCCAAGGTGCTGCAGCCCAATTTGGGTTTCAAGAGCAAGTGTTGGCGATGTGGACGTTGTCAGTGGTAAGTAGTGCCAATGTGAAAGTCCATTTAGTATATGTTAGAATTGATCACACTCCCTCAGTAGTCATAATAACTGAGGAATCCTAATAAATTAAACCCCACTTTCAATCCTTAAGCCCTCAGTCAATAGCTTCCCAACAGTGATTGGCAGATAGGTGGAAGAATAGACGGAATTACTTTGGTGTGTTGAAGACTGCTTGGGTATTTACGTCATATTAAGGCAGTTTAAATCAGCCCTGCCTGGTGCGAAATCAGATACTACTCACAAATTGGGCAGTATTTGTTCTTTCTTATGCTATTTTATTCATTTTATTGGGTTTCTATGATTTCCACAGAATGTTTGGGTGCATCAACCTGTAAGCTGATTCAAGGGAATGGCAATGTACAAGGGCAAATTTAATACAGGAGGAGGATGATTTGTTGTGCGGGTAAGGACTGGCCTTACAGATGCATTACATGGTGTTAGGTCGGGAAGAGCAATTTCAGATAAACCAAGCGAAATCATTATTTGCACTTTTTTCCTAATCCTTAAACTGTATTGTTTGAGTTTGGGCATTCAACCGGATATGTTACTTGGACTTGTGTTGAGAATATGAGGTACATGTGAGCGGGTTCGAGTCAAGGAGTCAAGTCATTGTGTCCATTTTGCAACAAATCACGTTGTCACCTAAATGGATTGAAAAATAAATAGATAAACACGTGACAAGGTGAAATGGTCTATAAAAAGAGGGTTGGATAGATAGGTATCACGTTAAATCTATCACAAGTGGATATTTGTCAATGATTAATTATCACTTCGTTTTTCTAACTCTAATTTCAAGAGGCGAAAATTGTAAAAAGTCAAGAAAACAATGAATTAGCAATCAACAGGGGATACATATGTATTTAATCCTAGCACAATATTGCTGTATTATTATTATTGTGTTAGGCTTCATTGCAGTATACTGCATTATTATTTTTTGTGTACGTTTTCAGTAAATACTATTAAAAACTAAAAAGCAACTTTGTTAAATATTGGCTTTGGTGTTTTCTTCATGGTCGAGTTAGACCTTACTTACTACGGCGCACTAAACGGAATTGTATCTTGATTGTTGTTTATGAGCGTGTGCTGCATAACAAAGTGATTTATTATCAAACTCTTGGTGTGTTGATGTCTGGTGATCAAGAAGGTTCAATTTTGTTATTCACTACTTCTACCTCACCTCGGGAGTCCACATATAAGGGATGTAGTGCCTCAGAGATTTGAAACTCGTGTTCTGCACCTGACGAATATGTCTCTGTTAAGCGTCGGGAATAAATAAGTGTAGCCAATCGCTTTGACTCTGCAATATTTGTAATCCACTTGTCCCTGTCAAAAGTCGAAGTTATTGGCAACCAAGTGTGTCGAAGGGGTCTGTTCTTACTTGCAGTCTTCGCTACTTGGACTTGACATAGAAGAGAATCGCATGACTTCCAAAGAACCTTCTAAAAGAAGAGAATCTGGAACGTCCCTTATAACAGGTAATTGCTGTTGCGTTGTGCCAAACAATATTCATGCGTAGATATGATTTTGGCTGACCAAAGCTGCGTAATGGACCTTGTTAGTAAATAGGCATTCAAATACGAATGCTTGATATGGGATTAATGTATCCGTTTTTTCTCACAGATCGCACGTGGAGCACCTTGGTGGGCTGCTCTAGCGTCTTGGAGCAAGAAGCTGCGGTATGTGTCCAATAATCTACAACCTAATTCTCATTAAATTCCAAGGCTTAGCTTCCTCTATTAGGGGCATTCTGCAATTAGTCGTCTTAGATGCCCTCGTCACCGTTTAGGACCTAGCTAAGTCAGCGTCGACTTCCGTGAGGAATCTTTTTTCCTTCGTAACATTGCCTGTGTTCTATTTCTACTGTTAGGAAAGTGCTCGTAAACATTCGATCCAGTTCGTAGTGGTTTCAAAATGACACTATTACTGTCCAGTGCTTTATTTTAGGCCTCTATACACGAGTGCCACTTTGTTCCCGTATACTCTGCTTTTTGCTGCCTATTCACTGTGGTTTGCCCATGTTCACTTTTCGTCTGGCATAACAGTGCGGGGGTTTTTGCATACAATATAACTCAAATGCGTTATTGAAGGGGGAAGCTCAGTTTTCAGCTATCATTAAAGCCAATTCACTCGTCATTATGCAGTTGTACTTGCAACTCACTGACGGCCGGTCAAATGCAAGCACTGTGGAAGAGAACTCACTGACCAGCATCTAGCACCCAACGAAAAATCACACTTTTGAGCAAAAATATCTTCTATTTCTATATTCTCTGACGTAAACTTAATAATTTGGATACCCAAAATGTGAAAATGCACAAGCCTT